GTCCGGCCTGGTCTAGAATCTGAGGCCTGTATGGTGTCGTGTGTGTGTGTGTGTGTGTGTGTACACAAATCCAAGCCTGGAGGGAATGTTCAGAAATGTGTGGACAGTGAAGGGACAGGAAACCTTGTCACAGCAGTAATGACTGAGGTGCCTCTGAGGTTCTTTAGCCTGGAGAGAAGAGGGAGTCAACATGTGGCCTTAACGCTTCAGGAAGGAGAGCAGTGAGTGGGTGCCACGGACAGAACCGCAGGAAGACAGGACGCCTCCTCTGTGTGTTGAGCTGATGCAAAAGAGGGGTCAGAAGGCTGAAGGCTGCCTTGGGAGGTAGTGAGCGCTCCGTCCCTGGAGATATACAAGAAGGGGGCAGAGAAGTCTTGGCAAGAAGACATCTGAGCCTCAGTCCTGGGGGGGGGGCGGAGCTCTTCTACCAGGGGGCCCAGGGAGTTGGGAAAGGACAGGGCCGGAGACGGCTTGTGGGGAGAGACGGGCGGTGTGAACAGAATGAGAGAATGTGATGTGCGTGTGTGCGTGCGTGCGTGCGTGTGTGTGTGTTCTGCGGACTCAGAAGTGTGGGGAGGGGGAGGGAGGGTGGGTGGGACACAGGACAGTTTTCCCAGCTGTACAGTCGGGCGGAGGCAGGTCCTGGTAGCTTGCCCTCTGTCATCTGGGGAAACCAGGGTGCTGAGGCCAAGGGAGCACGTGAGCAGCAGAGGGGACGGCGTCCTGGGTAGAGTGACAGCAGCCTGGAGGCGACACGAGCCCTTGTTCTGAAGTGTCACACGTGTGCTGTGTGGCTGTATGGGCCACCGCCCCTCTCTGGGCCTCCGAGCTTACTGGGTCCAACAGAGGGGGAAGGCGAGGACCCTGCCAGCTGGGCCGTCTGTGGCTCTGGTGTCTGCAGCCTACCCTTGGCCCTGGCCCGAGCAGGGACCACAAGCATGGGACGGCCGAGTCCCCGCGACCCCGGGCTTTGCCGACCTCAGACCTGCTTTGCCCTCTGTGGCCCGAATCCCCACTTCCTCGGCACCAGGTCCTGAAGCCACGAGGGAAGAGGACCAGAGTGCGCTGGGCGAGGGGGGACCTGGACTGGTGTTCCTGGGGTCTCCAGAGCGATGGCATCCTGGGCCAGGAGTGGAGTCCCCGCGAGAGCCCACAGCCTCCGCCCCGGAGTCCAGACTGGGGTCCCTCAGCCCTATTTTTGTCTTCATTTCGTCTTGTTAAAAAAATAGCTCTATTGCCCTGGCCCTTCTCCTGGGCATCCGCGATGGCCTCTCCTCCTCCCCTGGGCCGAGGGGCCAGGGAGGGCCGGGGAGGGCATCGGGTGCTGGGCAGTGGCAGGCAGGGCGGGTCTTCGGGGTCCAGGCCACACCCTCTATTGGATGCCACGGAAGAGGCACATGGCGAAGATCATGGCGAAAAGCTGCAAAGAAAGAGGGATTTGGCGTCAGGCTGCGCCACGCCTTCCGTGGCTGTCGTCCTTGCCCAGGGAAGGGGCCGTCTGCTCACCCTGTTCCGCACACACCTCGGGGGGATTTCTGAAGTTCCCCAGGGGCACGGTACTTGCCCTGGCCACCTGGCTCCTTTAAGAGGTGCAGTGGTGGAGAGAAGGGCTTTGGAAACTGAGACATGGGCTCAGACCCAGCTCTCTGACTTACCAGCCATGACCTTGGGCAAAGCACGTCTCTTCTCTGGGCCTGGGTCTGATTGAGAACGTACCCAGGTATATGCCAGGCACGGCTGTTAGTGCTTTCTCAGAAGCCTTTCCACGGGCCAGAGCGCCAGGCATAGAGAGGCCACATAGCCTGCCGAAGGTCAATACAGCTACGAGCAGCACAGCCAGGGCTTGAGCCCAAGCGTGCCAGCCCTAGAGCCTGTGTTCATGACCCTGCACCCTCCCTCTAGCTCTCGGGACGGTGGCGAGATCCAAGTGTAAAGCTGTGATCTGCCCACATGACCCGCCCGTTCGCTAGCAGACACTCAGCAGAAAGTCCCCAGCGCCATGATAAACAGGCCAGGCAGTGATGTGCGCTCTACCCCTGCACGTCAGAGACCCCGGGACCCCTCCGGCCAGACCTGCTGATGTTCCACGCCAGGGCCCAGACCACAGCTAACAGCTCCGGGGCGGGGTGGGAGGGCAGGCTGGGACGGGCCACGGGAGAGGTCCCTGTCCTGAGGCTGGCCTCCTGTTGGGGCCTCCGGCTCGCGGGCTGGGCTGGGACCAGCAGGTGGGCCCCGCTCTCTACATCCCCACAGGCCCAGGGGCAGGGGGTCAGCCCCATCCTGCAGATGAAGACCCTGGGGCTCGGACTTCCCAGGTCGGGGAGACGCAGCCGGGACGTCCGTGCTCCTGCTACAGGGCACTGTCCCTGGGCCCCGCAGAGGGATCTGCTTCCGGCTCACTGTTGCCTCCCGTGAAAGGACCTGCTCCCCTACGACAGTGCTGGCTCACAGCAGGGGCTCAAAGACGCTTGCGGAATGCATGCATGCATGCATGAATGACCCTCCCTCTCCCCAGCCTGGAGGCCAGCGGCTCCCTTTGGCCGAAGCGCCACCTTGTGGCGACTGCGCCGATCTGCAGGCGCCCGCCTTTTGCACAGACTCTGGGTGGGGTCAGGAGGGCTGAGACCCCCCTGAGGTGGGTGACCAAGGCCCCGCAGGCCCTGAACGTCCCACAGAGGAAAGGCCTGATCTGGACACACAGGCTTCAGCCTGTCCCTCCAGACAGCGGTGCTGTCACCTCCCCAAGAGTGCTCCCCGGACCCTGCGGCTGGGGTGGAGGTGGGGGGTAGGGGTCAGGAGCTAGAGGGGGGTGTGGGTGACCTCAGGGCCCACCCATCCCCGTTTCTGGGAGACCGGCTCCCACATGTCACCCCGAGTCCAAGGGTGGCCCTTAAGTAGCAGACACAGCAGGGCTGGACACCCATGGCACCCACAGTGGTGACCGGCTGGGTCTGGGGTGGGGTGTGGTTGGGGGTGCAGGCTGTGGGGTCTGCCTGGCTCCTCAGGAGGGAGGCTTCCTCCTGGGACTCCACTCACCTCGATGGCCACCACTCCAATGCCGAGTGCTCCGGCCAGGTAGACATAGTTCTCGAAGGTGTTGAGGATCACTGTGTAGCAGCCCTGGGAAGAAGAACAGAGGTGAGGCCACGGCTGGGGCAGTCCTAGGCCCTGGGGGGTGTGGCCGGTGGCCCCAGAGCTCAGGCTTCCCCGTCACGTGTCTGCTGGGACGGGACAGGGAGGAGGCAGGAGACCCAGAAATGCCATCTGGCAGAACTGCACAAAGCCACCAGCGCCTGGGTACCAGCCTGCGGGCCTGGTTGGCCCTCTCTCCCCAGGCTGCCTTGGCACTGGAATGCCGGGAAAGTTCCCACACGCATCTGGGCTGCCCACCGCTCTTGAAAAAGCAGAAGCCCCGGTGGGGCCAGCCGTCCCCCACGTGGGCACCATTGGCAGGGGCTCCCTTCACATGGGACGGGTATTCCCCAGGGGCCAGAGTCCCCTTGTGCCCTCCTGCCCCACACCCACCCCCATGTGTTGGGAGCTGGCCGTGGAGGCCCGCCTGAGCGCTAGGGACCCAGGTGGGCTGCGGACCTTGAGACCACCAGGCTGGTTCAGGAGCTGAAGGCCCATTCCCTCCTCCTTCCTTTGTTATTTAGCATGACCCACTGGCAGGGATTTTGACGATCTAAGCATGAAGTCCTGAGAATATGACAGGCATGGCTGACTCTAGGGATCCATTGTTCCCACTTCTCACAGACGTGGTTTCGGCTTTAAACTTAACACAGTTCAAACTCAGATCACATTTGGGAGCCTTTTACGTGATACATGCTTCTTCTTAAAAATATATTTGTAAAATTAGCACATACATTTAGAGGGCTGTTTCCAGCATTAGATGGTATAGATGATTATCTAGGGTTACCAGAAATGGCCCAGCACAAACTTTGGGCTGGGC